TATATATATATTATATATTATATATATATTTTTTGTATATATATATATATTGCTGTTTTTTCTTATTATCAATGAGTTCTATCGGTTCTTTTCGATTGTCCAGACCGATAATCAACAAGAATCCAATTTCCCAATATCGCCACGAATAGAAAAACCCTCCGATCGATTGCTATTTCGAAAGCTGCTCGCAACTCGTGTCGTTGCGCGATGTTTTCACAGACGAAAGCGTCGATACGGAGGACGAGAGAAATAAATTTCCGAAAGAGATATGAATTTTTCTCAACTGTAAAAAGATCGCGACTTTGCGCGCGATGTATATAGTTACGTTTTTTGAAGCGCCTCGCGAGAATTTTGTGTCTTGTTTTATACTCCCACACATATGTGTACCTCCGTTCTTGACTTTCGTTCAGAAGTCACAAATCAACGATCTGCATGCGCAGATGCCGGTGATAATGGGAACCGGAAGTTCAAGTCGGGACGCGACGTGCCGGGACCTTTGGCCCTGCCGATTTTCGGCACCAGATGGATCTTCTCCCGCTTCGGTCACTACAGCATGAACAAGATACACGAGGCATACAAAGGTAAGAAGTTTGGCCTTTGTTTCTTATCTTTGGTCGCTCTCGCGCGATGTGTGTGTGCGTGTGTGTGTGTAACGTTTTTATTTGTTTGTGTGTTAGAGAGACTGCGCGCGCGAATAATAGTCGTTTGTGACCCTGCGCGTTGGCTTCGGTGCCAACGATATCTCGAAGGTTGGCAGAAAAGAAAGGGGGTCAACACACACAGAAAAAAGAGAAAAGGAGGGAAGAAGGGTGGCGGCGCGCTAATATATCAGTTTCCATTGTCTTGCTAGTATGCGCGATAGACAATTTTAAAATTTATCCGTGTTATGTTTTATTTTGCGAAGAAGAGAGAGAGAGAGAGAGAGAGACCTTACGATTATAAATCGTGAAAAAGAAGAAGGGAGGGAGAGAGAGAGAGAGAGATCGGACGGGGACAGGGGGGGGGAGGGGGACAGAAAACGCGTCTTTTCAGAGGGTCAGGGTTAGAGATACTCCCAATCTTATCTTGCGCGTTGCTGCGCGTTGCTGTAATCGTGAGACTCTGACAGAGGAGAGAACCGCTGCGACAAAAAGGTGCTTATGTCACGTCCAAAGTTGCTTACGTCATGCCAATTAAATTCATGAGAAGAAACATTTATTCCCACATACACACATCTAGTAGATCTAGACCCTCTATATATATATAACGCGGACAAAACCTATAAATCGCTCATCGCGAGCGTATATAAAGTAGTTTTTGCAAAAAAAAAAAAAAAAAACAAAAAAAGTTGCCATTCGAAACTTCGTCGCGTATCATCATCGTCTCTCGAATTGTTAACGCGGTTTTACGCTTATCAAGAGATATCGCGCGAAGAATCAAAGCGCGGTTGGTTTGCTTCAGAAGAACACACAATATCTCGCGTGGTATCAATGATGATACGAAGATAATGATTTTTTTTTTTTTTATACGAAGATATAAAAACACGTTTATTCATAGTCGCGACGAAAAATGAAAAATCTGAGAGATTATACGTATAATATTAATCGCCCAATATATTTTCTCAACACGCGAAAAAAAAGTTAGCTCTCACAGCTAAAAATTAGGGTTTGGTTCCTAAAGTTTGGTAGTATTACGGACAACCTACCCGAGTCAAAATTTAGCGTCTACATTGAATCTCAATTTTTCTTTTTTTATGTAGGAGTAAGAGAGAAAGTAGATCCTACTTTGACGCCGCTATACGTCCGAAATTTCCTTTTTTCCTGCTAAAATTTTAAAGTAGGGTTTAATTCTCAGATCAGACTGCGCATTGCAGGCTCCGATAGGCTCAAAATAGGCTCTAATAGGCTCAAAGTAGGAGTAAGANANAAAGTAGATGCTACTTTGACGNTGCTATACGTCCGAAATTTCCTTTTTTCCTGCTAAAATTTTAAAGTAGGGTTTAATTCTCAGATCAGACTGCGCATTGCAGGCTCCGATAGGCTCAAAATAGGCTCTAATAGGCTCAAAGTAGGAGTAAGANANAAAGTAGATGCTACTTTGACGNTGCTATACGTCCGAAATTTCCTTTTTTCCTGCTAAAATTTTAAAGTAGGGTTTAATTCTCAGATCAGACTGCGCATTGCAGGCTCCGATAGGCTCAAAATAGGCTCTAATAGGCTCAAAGTAGGAGTAAGAGAGAAAGTAGATGCTACTTTGACGATGCTATACGTCCGAAATTTCCTTTTTTCCTGCTAAAATTTTAAAGTAGGGTTTAATTCTCAGATCAGACTGCGCATTGCAGGCTCCGATAGGCTCAAAATAGGCTCCAATAGGCTCAAAGTAGGAGTAAGAAAAAAAAGTAGATGCTACTTTGACGCTGCTGTACGTCCGAAATTTCCTTTTTTTCAAAAATTGAGGTTCAATGTAGACGCTATAAATTTTGACTCGGGTAAGCTCTTAGTGCTGTACAAGACATACATATTTTGCTATTATGTCGATACATATTTAGGAATATCAGCACAAACTGTTTCTATGTAATAGGAAATTTTATAGTTACAGCAGCAAATTTATTTCAGCAAACCGTAATTAGCTGTGGTAGAAACTATTTTTTTTTTCCGTGAATATCTCGCAATTAACGCGACCGAACTTTTAGGTGACTGAACTTCTCTCGAGAGAGACGGCGCTGCACTCTCTCGAGAGTCGCGGTTCTATATTTCACACAAAAGAAACTAATCTCTGATATACCTCTAAGATCAATATTGCGCAATATTGCGATACCGCGCTATATTTAACGCGTCTGATTTTTGTTACATCTGTATCTCAGAGTCGCGCGCGCGTGCGCGCGAATTCAGAAATTCGTGAAATTATGATTTTTTTTCCATTCCACACTCTTTACCTTGAAACATATACACGTTAATTAATTTTTGTCGCGTATACGTGAAGATCGCAACGTCGAACAATTTATTGATAATAAACAAATTTGTTAATTTGACAAATAAAAGAAACAATATTAAAGAAACCGATTGCGCGATGACATTTGTGTGATCGTACGTAAATAGTTATATAAACCGTCGTATTTTTTTATTTTTACTCACACTACGTGAACGTTAATCGGTGCGTGCATGATATTTTAATATGTCTCTCGTTTATCCCTGACTCAAGAGTAGATCTGAATCGGCAATACGGACCGTTGTGCAAGGAGGAGGCGCTTTGGAATTGCCTCGTGGTATCCGTGTTCTCCCGTCGCGACATTGAGGCTGTCCTGAAGCGAGGCTCGCGTTACCCGCTTCGTCCTCCGCAGGAGGTCATATCCCACTACCGGCGCTCCCGGCGCGATCGTTACACCAACCTTGGTCTGGTCAATGAGTGAGTATAAGCTTAAGCCGCGCGAGCGGCGCGCAGCGATTACGCGTGTGTCCGCTCGTATATGGAGGTCAAGTTTGAGGTCACACATCTCCGGCGCTCATGTAATTTCGGTCCGGTTTCCATTCGCATCTCCTCGGACCGTAATCGCAAAAAAAAAAAAAAAAAAAAATGGGTTGTCAGACGATCGATGAATTACTACGCGGGTGATTGCGTATCGCGACAAACAATTGCGTATCTGTGCGTTTATTTATTTAAAAAAATTGTTGTTTTAAAATAAATAGATGACAGAGAGAAAAGAAAGAGAGTAAAATGGAAAACACGGGAAAAAGGGAATATAAAATTACGATTGCGCAAAAAAAAAAAATTGCTTTTTTAATAGTTGTTGTTTGCTCCAAATTTTTATCCGAGCAATTGAATTGAAAATATTTGTTGTTTTAATAGACAAGGCGCGACATGGCAGAAGCTACGATCCGCATTAACGCCGGAACTCACCGGTGCCAGTACCGTGTTCGGTTTCTTTCCGGCGTTGAATATTGTAACCGACGGATTCATCGAGTTGATCCGCAAACGTCGATCCGGCTCAACAACCGTGGCTGGTTTCGAGGAACTCGCTTACAAAATGGGACTCGAGAGTAAGTCGTCGAGAGAGACAGAGACTCGGCGTTTTCTCATATTCTGGGAATTGATCGTCATCGACGACGATGATCTTTTCCGGATTTAAGAAAATCGATCGAGCGCGGCGTTACATTTGAAACAAGCGAAATCGCAATCTCACATCGACTTGTTGTAGAAATTAAAACAAGCGATAGAGAAGTTTTATATAAATTTCTTTTTTTTTTTCTTTTTTTGTTTTTTTTTTTTTTTCGTTTTCATTTTTGTGCGAGTTACGATGTTTGTCTCGCTAATTCGGCACCGATGTGTGCTTCCGTCGCGCGTTTCGTGCAGGTACGTGCACGCTGATCCTGGGACGTCATCTAGGTTTCTTGAAGCCAGATTCCAGCAGCACGCTCACAATAAGACTGGCGGAAGCGGTCAGGATTCACTTCACGGCCTCGCGCGACGCCTTTTACGGCCTGCCGCTTTGGAAACTTCTGCCGACATCCGCGTACAAGCAGCTAATAGAGAGCGAGGACGCTATATATAAGTACGTATGTAATCGGCATCGTCGTCTCTCGTAAGATACCTACTTGGCTACGATGAGAAACGGTCTCGATCGAGGGTTTCTTTTCACGGTCACAAGCGCAAATTATCGTACATTTGTTCAAATTGCCTTTGTCATTCTCTTGAACCTCATTTTCTAAAAGTTACGTCTGATATATAGAGCAAAATAATTTTTCAATTTTATATGCGCAACCAAATTGTCATCTTAACTTGCCTTCTTTTTTTTTTTTTTTTTTTTTTTTTTTT